TGCTAAATCCGTCGTTAAAATAAACAAGATCTTGTTTGAGTTTGTCGGAATATTTTTTAAACCACCACCAACTGTTAAAGAATGGCCAGCGACGATACAGCTGGATGGACAAGTTTACAACCCTTTGACTGACGGACGACAGTTTGAAGACAGGCTGATTGATACAGACGTGGCAGTATCCGGTTCAGTGAATTTGGATATTGGTGAAGATGACAACAAAGGCAAAGACCCAATTACCGATGCCACAGAGTATAGTGTTCCAATTATCAAAAGTAATGGAGAAACTGCTGATAACAGGTATACAGTATTATTTTTAAAACCTTTAGTCAAAGGGCATAGTCGTCGCTACGATATAATGGTTATATATTTGGTAAAGTGAAATAGTTAGCTACTTTCTACACAGGCAGAGAAATCAACAGAATGCGTGCAGAGAAGGATTGGGTACGATATTTCCCTGAAATTATCCGTATGTTGACGTAGCGAGAAACAAAGTTAAAAATTATTTGAATCGGATTCTTCCAGTTATTCAATATACGAAAAATTGATCTCAAACGCATTAATAATTCATGAGTAAATAAGCCAACCACAATGCCTTATTTTGCTCAAATGATAATGCTGGATACCTGATGAAGTATATTGATCCTGTCCAGCTGTCGTAGGACTGGATCCAAATTAATTAAGTAGTGATTTATTCGCATGAGATGTCATTTCAAATCCCTCAATTCGGACTGGATTAGATTTCAAGTCCTCGCAGTCCTTCGCCTCGTATCTTTATATCTGATAAAACACTGCTGCTCATGTTTTAAATATAGTAAATGAAAAATCGCACACGAGTGTTTGGCGCGAAATTATAATACGCACTCGTGGTATTATAAGACATTTAATCAAAATACTTCGAAAACAAGTGTAATTTCCTATTAATATCATTTTTTGTCAATTTTACACGAGCAATCAATGATAAGAAACATTGTATTGATGTATTATTTGCAATTATTTACACACGGTAACATCTCAATCATAGCCGTAAAATATCTAAAAGTTATAATAATTTTTTTGAAAAAATAAAAGAGGTTGATTTTTAGATGGTCGTGTAAAAATTCAAGCGAGCACAGCCATATGTCAATTTTGAGAGTAATATGTCAATTTTGAGAGCAATTTCTGGTATTAATTTTCAATTCATACTCTGCGAATTCATTTCATAACTGTGAATAATCTTTAAAGAGCTACAGTAATTGGAAAATAAGAGCTCAGAAAATATAAATTTTCACGTTGTTTATTTAGATCATATTCGTGCCGATTAATCTTTAATCAGCAGATTAATGTTTAATCGCCACGGTTTTTAACAAGTCAGAATCGAGTATAAATTGACTAAAATGATATTAGATATTAAATAGCCACGGTGTCAAGACAATTTTACCTGACGTTTGCCTGAGTTTAACAGTACGGCGTCCCCCCCCCCCCTCCTCACACATACACCCCTTCTATTTTTAATCTGATTTCAAAAGTTTTACGAAGTTTGGACACAAATCCACAGCAGCTTATATATTTTACCATTATTGTTCTTTTAGCATCACAGTTGACCAGACAGGTGGATGTTTTAGCCTTCCAGAAGTGAGTGCTTTCCTCCTATTTCCACCAAATGCTGTTGAGGAGACAGTAACTTTAAAGTGTAGTCGAGTGAAGCATAAAGAATGCGAAGTGAAGCCAAGGGATGGAGAAATATTCGTAAGCCGGATTCTTAAAGTTGAACCCGAAGGTGTGATTTTCAAGAAACCTGTGACAGTTCTTTTATCTCACTCGCTTGACGAGGATCAAGTCTTTCTGTATTTCTATGAATTATTCGTTGAAAATTTAAGCCCCACTGGTTGTCAGGAGTTAAAGACAGAACGAATAAGCTCCATTGAAGGTATTGGCAATTTAAACAACGTTATTAGAATAAACCAATTCGCAAAACTTTCAATTTAAATTTTGCGTTAGCTATACTGGGTCGTTTAAGAAGTTATACCATACAGATATGTCTCCTATGCTCTTTTCTGCGTTTCGGCAAATTCAGCCTCCTCCTTCGTCTTAAGTTTTCTTTCTCAGCTCTCTGAAATTTTTTAAGATTTCAGCAGTTACTTTCGTTTTTTTAGATATTCCAAAAGAAATATCTAATAAAGAGATTTTGGAAAACTGCTTGCCGTTTGCCAAAGCGACAATACGTGAGACTTGTACCTTAGTTGCTGCAACACGAGCCAGGTTCAATCAGATTTTGATACCAACAAACAGACGTTATGCCTTCTCTAAGCAGTACGGAGACAATGCAGAACTAAAGATCACATTTCCGGCTGGCGTAACTGAGAAGATACTGATTTTAAACGTTCAGGTAATTTGTTTTCCTGCGGTTACAGTGGGTAACATATATGAGTTAATATCTTGCAAATTCAGTGTTGCCTCTTTGGTTTCAGTTTAGCTATATAGCGATGACCGATGGACAATATATACACGAACTTAGAAAAAGCACGTCAATCTTTCTACATTTTTCAGGAATGGTCGACCTTTCCTTTACGTACCTACACATTTTAATACAGATTTTAATACTGATTCTCATTGTCACATCCACATTTGACTGAGTGTAAAAAGTTATAAGATCGTGGGAGGTTAGGATCGTGAAACTTGGACTGGTGCGTGCTGATTGTGAAGTTTAACGCACACACATAAGAGAACAATGTAGCGAACAAGCTCTCACATACTTCTGTGTAAATTCTACACTTTTAGTTGTTTCCTGCTGATGCTGTCCTAAACAAAGATATACGTTTAAATAAAAGTCTTGTTTATGCGCCTATCATCAGAGTTTCTGGCCAGACGACTCCATTCCTGAAAGCAGTTGATGTCGAGCTCACATACTCTCACAGTGACGTGGTTAATATTGAAGAAAATTTTTTACCAGTTGAAAAATCGATTCAGTTCACAACTGAGTATGGGCTGTTGATGCACAATCACAACGAAACCGGGTTAAAAGCCAACTGGCAAGCGTTAAATGAAAGTCACGATGTTTTTATTGAGCGATTAAGAAAGGATCAGCTGAAGTTCTCGTTTTCAGTAAAACATTTTTCAGAGTAAGTGATTATGTAAGATTATTTTCTGATAAGTTGTTATGATTCAATCACGAAGGAAAGCATAAAAGGATAAACAGGAAAGAATATCAATTTTCCAAATGCGCCGCTTGTAACGACTTTTATACAGATTGCATTTTGATACTCTAAGGCAAACGAGGTCTTATTTATTTGAACCATATGTGGGGCTTATTTGAGATGCCGTAATCAACTTTGAATTGGGGAGGGGGAAGGACTAAATAGAGAGGCAGGCTTAATCAAGTTCATTTTCCAACAAGAGAGGCGTGTGGGGGTGTTGTTGACTTTTAATTATTCATTGAGGTTAGCATGGTAAAACCAATTATGAATGTATCATAATGGATCGTTTGCATTATAGACTAAATTTTGATCTAGTTAAAAGAGCATCACAAAATTAGTAATATTCCAAAGTTTCGTTGCGAAATGTTGTAAAATGCGGATAATATAGCCTTGCGAAGTTTGCCCTTTTTCAGTCATTTTGTATTACGACGCACGGGAAATCGACAGCCCAATCGGGTGTTGGGGAATCAATTTCCCGTTTGTAATACAAAATGACTGAAAATTGCAAATTTCGCAAGGTTATATTATCCGCATTTTACAACATTTCGCAACGAAACTTTGGAATATTATTAATTTTGTGATGCTCTTTCAAGCTGTGGTGAAATGTTTGTCTAGACTTATTGAGACCAAAATTTAGTCTATAATGCAAATGGTCCATTGGAGACAGGGAAATAAATACATAGAAAGAGAGACTACGATTTTTATATTATTTATTGGAAAACTAAACTGCAACGTTTTCTTGTCCACTTCTAGTGTCCAGCCGATGGTGAAGACGAGTACAGCAGTTAGTTTTGTGCCACCAATGAGCGCTAGTATGATGAATATGAACAATCCAGCTTGTCATCGTGCGATCGTTTTGGCTGTGTACAAATCTGGTGGCAGTCCGAAGACACTCTACGCTGTGTTGGCGCCAAAACACGCGGAAAGTCGTCTTAGTACTAAATGGAATGTAATAGGTTTGCGTTTCACGAGTCGTCTCAAGTGCGAAGAACCAGTTTACTTCTGTGTTCCGATGTCAGATATTACAGAAAGCGAGCATTTGCTCCTTAAGGATTATACTTTACGGTAAGTTTGAAGTTTTTGGACATAAACTGTTTGTTTTGTGGAAAACACAATCTTTAAAGCATAATGGCCTGGATCACAGCTTTAAGCGCACTCGGGCGCTTAAAAGGAAATCGTGAAAAATTGCGTCCTCCCCAAGCACACCCGCGCGATCTGTATATAATCACGAACGGCCCATATCTTAGTGCGAGCAGTTCATAATAAGTGAAAAAATATTTAGGGATGCACCGGATATTAAAAATACCTGGCCGGATAAATAAAGTTGAAGGTAGGTCATCAATTCTTGCAATCCTTGCAACTGAGAGCTGAATTGCAAAGGACATGTAGCTAGTTCAATCGTCACCGAGTCGAAGGTTTACTAGGGCGCGTCTGGTTGCCACCATACCCAACCTATGTCTGATCACCGAACACAGGTGGAAGAGTTTGTTTTTCAGGAGGAAAATCGTCGAAGCACGGGGAGAACTAACCACAATTTTACTTATACGAGTTTTCAAGCGCGGTTAAGTCAAGAACTGGTTTGTCACCCTTCAAATACCTATAGCTTACCCTCTACCTTTTCACTCGTATAATAGTCTTGCTTGTCAACTGCTTCTCGATCAATTTGTAGATCTTAATCTAGATTAAGGCTTGTTTGTAGATTAATTTGTAGATTAAGGCTGTTTGCCATTTCAACCGTGTCGTACCACGTATTGCAATTCTTTGTTTCCTAAATACCACGGTTGAACTGGTGCAGTATCTCATGGTACAGTCCTTTTGAGCATAAATATCGTGGTGTTTTCACAAAACATAACAAAGTTATAAAGTGTCCATAAGCTTCTTGATACTTATTTCCACCGGTAAACCGCTGATATTTGTTAATGTTTTATGTAGGTTTGATCCAGAAGATGAGTCAGAACTAGCCAACAACACAGATGATGGAGGGGCTTTTCATGCGTTTCTTGAAGGATAGAGAGTGCAATAATGGCGAAAATCATACTACACAAGACGATTGTCGTGCGAAAGTTCAAATCCATATTTCTGAAAGCAGATCAGTTCATGCTGATCCACGTATTACAAATTTTGATTTACCATTGCCTATCGTAAATACTGTAAGTCGCTCTGTCAAATATGCCCCTCTCTAAAAGTCCCCTTTTGGAGGAAATAAATGTATCAAGCCTCCCTTCGTACTAACGGGAGCAGCTTGATCAATTTAAGCAATACGCACATGTATTGAGTATATTTATCAATCTAACTAGAAGTTCACGCTTGTCACTTTCCGCATTTTGGCAAAATGAATCCGCTTTCCTGTGTGTTTAGATCTCTTTTCTCAATACGCTTTTCCTAGAACATAACCTCCCCCTAAGGCGGGGGGGGGGGGCTTAATAGAGGAGTTACGGTGTGACAAACAGCAAGCTCAAGTCTGATGTCAATATTGTTAAAGAGTCCAGGTCAACCACAATGCAATGCGCGCTTTTGTTTACGTTTTCCGGTTACTTTTATCAATTGTTGCCGCCATTTTCGAGGCCATACAAAGTGGCTGCCTCTGGCCCACAACGTAACAGAAATGTAAACAAACGCACGCATTGCATTGTGGTTGACCAGGACTCTTTAGGATTTACAATAGCAGGGAGGGGCTAGTTGACGTAGTTGTTAAAGGAGCCAGATTATTAAATTGACCAGTTGAATATTTGTATTAGTCAGTTTACATTTTAACTGAATTGGGTCCTAAGTCACATTGCTCTTTTCTTTTGTCTTTCAATGTTTGATTTTTGTATTTGTTCCACAGCCAAGCGCAGAAATTCGTGAACCCGTCGTTGATGTTGAACCACCGCAAGGTAGGTTATGTCGGTTTCTACTAGGCGAATTGATTCCTACTCTTTGTGGAGAACGTTATTGCCAACCATTCGCATTGCCGAAATTTGTCTTTCGATTCTCTCTGCGCCAATAAATTCGCCTATCACTTTGCGCGTTACTTTTATACTTTTTTCTCCGCATATTAGGTTTAACATGCGGCCTATATATACACACTCGAAAAATATGCGGCATGCGTGTTATTGGTGAATGCACTCTGGTCCCGTGTCATGCACCTTGTCTAACCAATTGCTCGTCATATTTATACTGTTCTTCTGTTAATACAGAACGCAATGTTTCATCTGGTGCAGAAGACGCTCAAATAAATAACAATCAAATAAGCCAGGTAATTAAATGTTTGGGATCTTTTCATTAAAAAAATATTATGAGGTGTGATAGCTCCCCGGTTCACAGAAAGTGTGTTTTACATGTAGATCATGATGTGCCGTTGTGAATTATTCGAAAAGACAGTTGAAACCGCAGCCCAGAAGAAAATGGAGATTAATAAAGAATTTGCAGAGGATCCTAAAGGAGGCAAAGCCACAACGATCGTGGACGTTGCTGGACCAACGACTACTTTTATTGCCAGCCTTGCTTGTGGCATAACAGCTGCAATGAGTATTCCAACTGCTGGGGCAGCATCGTTCGCCGCAGCGTTTGTAGCTGGTGGTACTCTTCTTGTTAAGATTGTCGATAAACGCTATCAACAAGCTAACGCTAAAGTAGTCGAGGAAGTGCTTGAGACAGCAACAGAAAAAGCACAAATTTCATCTTATTTGAATTGTGTCGTGAAGGACGTTGCCAAAGAATTATCTCGTATTTTCGAGTCCCAGTTATTTGAACTGCGAGGTGATAAGCAAGTTGAAATTTTGGCGGAGTCTGCGGTCGATTTGATGTTAGATCTACAAAAAGACGATACATTCGACAGAAACACTTTACTTAAGAAAGTACTACAAGATGGCAAAATAAAAAAGAAAAAAATACTTACAAGAACGAAGGATATTGAGTGGTCTGCTCCAAATGTGTTTCGAAAACCTGGCTTGCGACGAATGATTTTCGGAAAGGATGGCGCGGAATTTAAGCATTTTATTAAACCAAACGAAGCTAGTAAAACATGCAAATATGGTTATCGCGGCCAGTTTCTTGAAGCAAAGAAATCTGTTAGTCAAAACAGTGAAGGTGAAACAGCTGCGACGGATGAAACCCCAACCAATGAAGATACTCGCGAAAAGTTGTGCGAAGACTGTTCTTCTAATTATGAAAATTGCACCAGTGGCCAATACTTTGATGAATCTGAAATTGACTCTCATTACAATAAACCTCAAAATAAATTATACAGTTACAATCCACTACACATTTTAATTCAGTGTCCAAAGGTTTTGGAATCTTTCAATCAGCTTGAAAAGGAAAAGCCCTCGTTAGCCAATTTTTTGAAGAGTAAGTTGCGTCTTCCTGAGGATCATCTTGTACGACCCGTCTATCGACCACATTCACCAAGGAAAGTGTCCGACCTTCAAAAGTCAGACCTTATTGGATCAGATTTTAGCCATTCCGATTTCACAAATTCATGTCTCGAAGAATGTGATTTCACCAAGTGTGTCATGCTGTTTGTAAAGCTAGGAGGGGCGAAGATGTCTGGTTCAAAATTTTGTGACACATTAATCAGTCACAGTAACTTGGAAAAACTGAAAGCTGATCACTGCGAGTGGACGAAGACGTCTCTCCTTTACTCGAATGTTAAAGGCGCATACCTAAATTTTGTAAAAAACAGCTTGTGTGCGAATTGTTTGGATGGAACCAATATTAGCGACGCCATCACTGGAAAGAACAGGGAATTGAACTGCAACGAAGGTAAGCACAAGTAAATAAGATTTTAAAATTGACATAATATTTTGAAACCAAGCCAGAATGAGCACCAGATTATTAGTCCGAATACTTTATTTCTTCAAATTGCGAGGACTTGAAATCTGGTCCGATCCGAATTTGAAGTTTTATAATAATATATCATTGTCCTTTATCATTACTAAACGTATTGTGAGTTAAGCGAATCTGGTATTGATTCGATTCTCAATACACTTAGTCTCGAAATCAAATTTCTACTTACCATCCAATACACATATTAGTACAGTGTTCACTGTCCAAAGGTTTTGAATGCTTTCATTGGTAATCGCAAAAACACCGAAAAAAGCTCTAACTAGCCAATATTTTGAAAAAAAAGAGTTAGCCCTTTCTGAGCATCATCTTGCACAACCCATCTATCGACAGCATCTGCAGGGCAAGTTCCTGATCTCCAAAAGTCAGACCTTACTAGATTATATTTCAGCCATTCCGATTTCACAAATTCATGTCTCGAAGAATGCGATTTCATCAAGTGTGTCATGTTGTTTGCAGAGCTAGCCAAGGCCAAGATATCTGCTTCTCAATTTTGTTGTGACACATTGATCAGAGACAATAACTCGGTGGAAGTGAAAGCTGATCACTGTGAGGGGACAAAAACGTCTCTCCTTCACTCGAATATGTCGGATAGCCAATACCTGGACTCTGGAGAACCCAGTACAAGTGGGAATTTTTCCAATGAGACAAGTATTTCCAACACCATCCCTGGAAATATGGGGAAATTGAACCGCAGCGAAAGTAAGTATAAATAAAAGGAGGTTTTTAACATTGGCATAATTTATATTTTAATTTTTGAATCCGGAAATGAGGACACACTGCAAGGACTTGAAATCTGATCCAGTCCGCCAAATTTGAGACATACAGGTGACCCCTTATTTCAACGCACACCTTTGTGAGTTCACAATTGTTTCTGCTTAAAGGAGGTGTCTGCGTCATAGTGTTTTAATAGCATTGAGGTTCGTTTATAGGGGTTCGACTGTATATCATTGTCCCTAATGCCGTAAGACTGCATTCTGATCCTTTTCTGACACTGAATTAATTTAGTTCTTGGATTGGATCAAAACACTTCACCAGGTATCCACTATCATCATTTGACCAAAATAAAGTGATATATAGTTCGCTAATTCCTTTTATAAATTATTAATGATTATGAGATGTGTTGGTTAGCAAGGTTCTAAATGTGTTCTAAATTCTCGTGTAAGGATCACTGTTGAAAAACTTTCTATTGCTGTTGTTTTGCAAGTGTCTGCTAAAATAAATTAATGTTATCAAAATAACATTCTGTCTTTTTCTCTTGACCAGTGCATGCATCTAATTTCTGGTTATCTGTTGATTTTTAACAGCGACAGTTTAGAAAAAGAATTTTTAAAGATGTGTCACATAAAATTGATTGGAACTGACGAATTAAGGTACAGTCTGTGAAGAGACTAGTAGGAGAGATGTGTATTTTTGGTATATATACACCATTTGCGGAATTATATCGGAGCGCGTAGCATTATGCGCGCATAGCTTCGACTATATTCCTTGTTGTCATTTGGCACTTGAAATAAAACAAATATCTATATTTACTGAAACCTGGGTAAAATAGCTTTTTGTGACCCCTTTGATCGCCCGTCAGTTTTTAGGTCTCAAAATCACGCTATTTCCCTCGGTCTCGGTAAATACATGTAAATTATAAATAATGAATGAATTGATAAATTAAATAATGAATTAATTTTTGAAAAATTGCATGTTAGAAAACACTTAGCACGTAATTCTATAATTTTAATAGTTAGATGTATTCGATGACTTTCTGCAGTTTCCCATTAGACCAATCAAATGCAATTTAGTATGGGAAACTTTGTCGTCTTGTTTTAAGGTAGATCATACAGCTTAGACTTTTTTAATATTGTGATATAATCACGTAAAATATATATAGTAAATGATGAACATAGATAACAAATACCTTATTTACCCCGCATTTCACTAGCGCTGGATTAAACCTTTCTGGGACACCGGATGTAAAAAAATTAGGACTGGTTACTAATGACCTTCTGAAGGATAGTTTTTAGCTGGCGCTCAGTCTAAAATAAATCTTAATTGCGGTCAGCTTAAGGTCTCGTATTTTCGATGATCAGTTCGACAGTTCGTTGAACTTTTTGTCCTAAATTTCCGTGCAGAAGCCCTAAGCATGAGGTTACCGTATTTCCTCTATTTAGCCCCCAGACTTTTTATCCCTGCATTTAGACCCCCTTCCCTCCAATTAGTCCCCAGTCCAAAAGTGCTGAAAAAATAAGTCCCCATCCTCTTTACAAACGTTCTATATAACATTCACTGATAGTATTGCGTATACAGGGTGTCCCTATTGAAATAACGTATTGTTAGAATTTGAATGCCTCAGCACTCCGCTGATCCCACAAGTGCATAAAGCTTGACAGAAGTAAATTTTATGCATAAAGAAACTGTTTAAGAAGCTGCTTTTGTTACGAGTTCAACTATCACGCGAAATACTACATTTTGTTGGTTTAAGTATCGTTTTAATAAAGCTAGTAAAAAGTACAAAATTCAAGCATGCTGCTTCGTCACGTGACTATCTTTCTACAGGGTACCCAAGACAGAGTGATCTAAATTGGCCACGTCACACTTTAAATCCTCAAGAGCAGAAAATTTTGCTCTTTACAAAGATATTTGAATTTCTTAATAAGTAAATATTTGATGTATGCACCCTGTCAATATTTTACCCATCTTTGCGTTCAGCTTGGTGCTAGGGCATTCACATTCTAACAATACGTTATTTCAATAGTTTGGGTTTTTTTTGGGACACCCTATAATATCGTTCACTGATACGGCAAACACACCCTCCCCACTGAACTGGAACGCTACCTTCAGATAAACTGCCTATCTTTTTTTTAAGATCCGCGTGTTTAATTATATCATGATTGACTGATTGAGCGCTCTTCGCTTGCGTGAAAAGACTGGGACTGGCCTTCAAATTTGGTTTCAAATTTCGAGTTGGACTGTAGCGTTCCAGTTATATTCAGGTTAATGACCCTTCCAGAAAGTACATCACAGCGCCAAATTATTATAAAGTTTTACAAAATTTGCTTTATGTACTATTTAAAGCACGCGTAGGAGTGTTTTATCACATATAAAACACGACGCGTAGCGGAGTGTTTTATATGTGATAAAACACGACTACA